TCACCAGGGAGAACCTTAACTATAGAAAAATCGATTATTGAGTCGATATTTTACCAAGCAAATAATCTGCTTGCTGCAAAAAAATGTTATTTTTGCGTCGATAATCATACTATTTGAGTCGACAAAGGGATGCAAATAATAGGTGATACAAAACATTTGCGCCCGCAAGATGCTGATGCAAATAGTCATAAAATAATCTTCTTTATAAATTTTACCATTTTATTCATCGTTTGCTTCAACGATTACCTAATGCAAATAATCCCCTTATATATTCTTTAATGTATATTCATAACTATTCCCCTTTCATTCTTACATATTACCTGAACATAATTTGTTGCAACCATAATTCTCATCCAAAAATAAAAACAATGAATACTAAAAAATTATAATTTTCATAAATACTCAAATTCTAGTATCAACATTACAGCAATATCTTCGAAACCGTCAAAAGTATGAATAAATAATAAAAAAATCTTAATATATATTTTTTGAAAAAAAAAACACATGATTAAATGAATAACATCTACTCTCACCCCCAACAAGTCAAGGAAGTCCATAACAAATTTATCCTTGGAGGTCAATGTGTGCTTTTCTTCCTTTGCCGTGATTATGTTAGCTTTCATTTACGCATATCTTCACACAAACAAGAAAAATAATACGATTTGACAATTAAGCAAGTCTTTTTTTTCCTAGGAAACTTCATAAGCACATAAATCAGCAGTAGAACTCGAAGAAGACAAGATTAAAACAAAATTGAAACCTCAATACAACATCTCACATCCAGACAAACAAATGCAACAAACATAAGAGCACTACATTTCCACTATAATCATAAGCAATCCTTACAAGATCTATGCCAACATTTGTCTGTCCTACCGTTATACAAATCTGGACCAGGCGACAAAAAAAGAAGCCACAAGAAACCCACTTCCTAGCTATAAATGCAACAACCACCATCTGTTGAAAAAAAAGAATTAATGAGATCTTCATCTTCTTCCTCCTTGTTTCTGTTCATGGTATCAGAGCCATCAAAAGACTAACGTCTCCATTAAAATCTTGCTCTAGTGTTGTATCTTCTTCTACCTCACCTTCTAACTCTTCTTCTTCTTGAGTCAGCCATAAAAATTCTACACTTCAATCTCCTATCCAACATATGTAACTTGAATTCTTTGCAATTAGATGCAAACAACTATGTGCCTTGGAAGTTTCAGATTTCTGCTCTGCTTCGTGCACATTCGCTTCTAGGATTTGAAGATGGATCTTCTATTTGTCCAGATCTCTTTGTTAAAGATGCTTCTGGTACTGATACATCTGAGATTAATCCAGATCACACTCACTGGATTATTCAAGTTCAGGCATTATTAATGACACTGACTACTGCTACTTTGTCACAATCTGCAATTTCTCAAGTAGTTGGTTATTCAACTTCACGAGAAGTGGGGCTTGCTCTAGACAGAACATTTTCATCTATTTCTCGATCAAATATTCTACAGTTGAAGACCAATCTCCAAACTATAACCGAAGGTTCTGACAGTATAGACTCCTACATTCAGAAAATCAAGGAGGCAAGAGACAAGTTAGCTGCAGTTTCTGTGATAATTGATAATAAAGACACGCTAATTTACACACTTAATGGTCTTCCACCTGAGTATCATGCTTTTTAGAACTGCTATTCGAACCAGAGCACAAGCTGTGACTCTTGAAGATCTACATGTCCTCCACAAAGCTGAGGAACAATCTATTGATTCTATGACAAAGATGAATCAAAATATTTTCTCACCTACTGCTATGTTCAGTTAACCAGTGAAACAGCAAGGCAATAGAGGCAGAAATACTTATAATCAAGGCAGAGGAAGGGGTCAGTCATATAACAACAATTGAGCTGGTCGAAGATCCAATAATTCAGGCAGATACTCTCAGAACTCTCATTCTCATTCTAATTCCTACAACAGCGATCATTCAAACTCTAGATCACAGTCAAACTCAGCTCCTTTGCAATGTCAGATCTGCAATGAAAGAGACCATAGTGCAATTGATTGCTATCATCGCATGAACTATGCCACTCAGGGGAGTAATCCTCCATCTCAACTTGCTGCCATGGCAGCCTCTGTTAACTCTCCTCCTCCTAATCACTAGCTTACTGATACAGGTGCTAGTCATCACATTACTGCAGATCTTGACAATTTGACTATTCAGTCTCCATATTATGTTGATGACAGAGTTTCAATTCGCAATGGTCAAGATCTTTCCATCTCCCATACAGGTCATTCTTCCCTCAAAACTTCTTCTCATTGTTTCAAATTATCCAATGTTTTGTGTGTCCCTCTATTGCTACAAATTTGTTATCAGTCAAACAATTTTGTACTGATAGCAACTGTGTTTTCATTTTTGGTTTTGAATCCTTTGCTATTCAGGACAACCTTACCAAGAAAATTCTGTACAAAGGCCAGAGTAGCAATGGTCTGTACCCAATTCATTCTGTTTCCTCTTACACTTCATCTCCAGTGGCTTATCTGGGAACCAGAGACAAAGGCCAAGTTTGGCATGACAGACTTGGACATCCTTTAAATTCTGTTCTTCAACAAATGCTTTCTACTTTTACTCATACTAGTTTCCCAAGTTCTACTAGCTCTTGTATGTGCAAGTATTGTTTGTATGGCAAGATGACTAGGTTGCCTTTTCCTATTTCTAAGTCAATTTCTTTTAAACCCCTGCAACTAGTTCGTAGTGATGTGTGGGGACCTGCACCTCAGACTTCTACTAATGGTTTCAGATTCTATGTTTCCTTTATTGATGATAATACTCGTTTTACTTGGATTTTCCTATGGTACATAAATCTGAGGTAAATTCTATTTCTTGTTCTTTCAAAGCTCAGCTTGAAAACACTTTTTCTTCTAAAATTCAGTCATTTCAATCAGATGGAGGGGGTGAATATAGCAGTAACAAGCTGAGGCAGTTTCTGTCTACCAGTGGTATTCATCACAGAAACTCATGTCCACATACCCCTCAGCAAAATGGCATTGCTGAGAGGAAGCAAAGCATAGACACATTGTTGAAACAGCTTTAACACTGTTAACAAGAGCCTCGTTACCATCTATTTTCTGGTATAATGCCTTTGCAGCTGTCACTAATCTTATTAATCGAATGCCTAGTTCTGTTACTTCTGGACATTCACCTTTTGAGCTACTCTATAGTCACCTTCCCAGTTATTCTGACCTTAAAATATTTGGGAGTGCATGCTATCCTTTGTTAAAACCTTACCAGCAAAATAAACTACAGCCTATGACTGTTCAGTGTGTGTTTTTGGGATATCCAACTAAATACAAAGGCTATCTTTGTTATGACCCTCACAATAACAGATTTTACATTTCCAGAAATGTTTTGTTTGATGAGCAGATTTTTCCATTTGCTTCTATTAAGTCCAAATTTTCCTATTGTCCCACTTCACCTGTTGAATGGACATCTTTACCTACTTCCACTTCCTCTTCTATTCTTGGACCTCCTCCAGTTTGTTCTCCTTCAAACACTACTACTTCTTACTGTCCTCCATTTATTCTTGACAGCTTAATATCTGCTTCATCTTCCCAACCCACAACTTTATCCCCTGCACCTATTTCTTCTTCTCCTAATGCTCCTGCTTCTTCTCCAGAGCAAAGTCCCTTACCTATCTCTGTTCCTCCTATCTCTAGCTCTTCTCCTGCAGTTCTCAATACTCATTCTATGCAGACTAGAGCCAAATCAGGCATAGTCAAGAAAAAATCTTATCTTGCTCAAGCTTCCTCCTCAGAACCTACATCTTTTTCCTCTGCTTCCAAATTTTCTGATTGGAGACAAGCTATGGCAGATGAGTTTACTACTCTTCAGAATCAAGGTACTTGGACTCTTCTTCCACCCTCAGCATCTCAGAATGTTATTGGCTCAAAGTGGGTTTATAAGATTAAGCAAAATCCAGATGGATCAGTTGCTAGATATAAAGCTAGGCTAGTAGCCAAAAGCTTTCATCAAGAAGCTGGAGTTGATTACCATGAGACCTTTAGCCCAGTTGTAAGACAGGCCACTGTCAAAGTTGTTTTATCCCTTGCAGTTCATTTTGGATGGAGGTTACAGCAATTAGATGTAGAAAATGCTTTTCTTTATGGCAATTTTTCATGAGACAGTTTACATAGTTCAACCACTTGGTTTTGTTGATCCTTCCTGTCCTCAGTATCTGTAAGCTGCACAAATCCATTTATGGTTTGAAACAGGCACCTAGGGCCTGGTTTGAGAGGTTTACCTTTCTAACATTTCAATTCACAGCTTCACCGGCAGATTCCTCTCTGTTTGTGAGATCTTCTGGGCAGTCTATCACCATATTCATATGTGTGTGTGTGAGAGAGAGAGAACTTAAGTTTGGGAAGACACTAACGCCGGGCCTTGTAATTCAAGTCATTTTTTTTGTAAATTAGAGAAATAATTTCGTAGGTTTTACAAGAGGAATTATTTATGCAGGAATGCTTTTAAGTTTTTTGGATTACAATACTTTATGTTATTGTTTTTTCTGAACGAGTTAAAAAAAAAAAAAAACTGCCAACTCAACTTGGTCTAATACATTTACTCTTTAGCACTTGTCTTTGCACAACTATAATTCAAATTCTTGTTATGTCTGTCTTGCACTAACTGTTTAGGCAAGTGCTTATTTCCCTTTCGTGCACAGCCATAAATTAATTCAAATGGATAGAAGTGGACATACTTATAGAATAAGTTTGATCGATTCACAACTATATCAAATGCAACAGAATTTTTGAATAACTTTTCAGCAATTTTATGATGAAGTAGCAAGCAAGCAATCAATGCATTTCAAGCCTCTCCCTTGCCTTGGTTGACTGCAAAATATCGAAAACAATTCAGAGCTGGTTTAAGTAGTCTTAACAAGCCTTGCGATGCTCTTAAACTTCACTAATCCATTTGAATGCCATGAAAAGATGAGTAAACAAAGTAATAGCTGGAAATTATATGATGATCCTTATATTAATTTCTTATCCCAACTAATTATAGCATTTGCTGGAAAGGAAAAAGAAGGGAAAAAAAGCACAAATAGAATAAAGAATCTATGAAACCTGTTGTAAGAGACAGAAGAGATGATTTTACAGTAGGCCCTGCCTTCCACTATCCCATCCAAATGCAGAATGAAACCTAGAACAACAGGTCCTGTACGTCCGGCCAGATAAAGCCCCACGAGATTTACATGGGCATCTATATGCTGCCACCAACTTCCTCTAGCTACCCCTGTTTCAAAAACAATATCACTGTTAGGGGGTCATGTCTCGAAGCAAAATTAAGGACAAATGAGTTCTAACAACTATAATTAATGTAAAGGAAATCACTGGATATATTCGTGTAGGCTATGAGTTCTAATGCAAATTATTCATACGGCAAAAATGGTCATTTCCTAAAGTTCATGGCACTTGAGAACACTATACATACTTCTTGAACCTAACTCCTCCTGGACCCAGTGACATCTAACATGAGTGGCAAATTGTGCGCACATGTATTACATTGATTGCAAGTCAATCCCTTTAGGGAACCTTCGATAATTTAGCCTAGTTTGAAGTATATGTTTGCACCACAAAACAAAATCATGACAAGAATAGTGTTCTAAGAACTAATGCGGAAGGACTGCTTGTAAACTGTATGGTAACGGGCAGACCTAACAGAGGAACCATAACAGCAATATATTGCACAACTCCTCATTCCTGTAAGCATATCCCAGAACAATAGCGACGGGCTTTACAAATGCAAAAAACATTGCACTCCAGAAAGCCCTTTGAGCCGCTTGTGGAAACCAGAATCCTAGTTCATTTGAGACCCTAGTACTTGAAACAGTCAATGGGTTGTATACAGCTCATTGGACATACTGGTTGCTACTAGTCTAGTGCAGCACCAAGGTTCCTCGGGTCCAACTTAAACATTAGAACCCAACAGAGGGGTATATGAAGACACAGAACAATAATGGAGCTTGTGAGCATTGGCAAAATTGAAGTTCAAGTATGGAAGTACTGAAAAAATGCTTAATACTTGCAAAGCCAAATAATGGAGCAATGACCCAAATTGAGGATTTTTATGCTTCTACTTGTCCGTCCATGAAAATCCAACGATGGGGAATGTTTGAGTTTCTTTATAATATCCAATTTTTCCATCAATCAATTACTTTCACCCAAAAATAAAAAATATGGTTTGCTGCAAAAATACTCTAGATCTTAAGACCATAAGATCAAAAACAGTTGAAGCCGAAAATGAACAAATTAAAAAAACTGTAACCAATCCAAACGTTACAGTTACAAGACAAGGAAATGGGCTTTCTTTGCATAAAAAATACCAAAGAAAATGAAGACAAACCAAAACAAAAGAGCAAACACACAAATACATCAATCAACAGTACCTAATTGTAACTACATCACTGAGATCGTTTCAAGTCCAACTAATCCCATGGAGGCACAAAAATTTACTCTCTCGCCGGTGCTGCACCTTCCCTAAAGCAGGGGCACATGTATGGAAATTTCTCAGTCAATCCTTAGCTTGCTGCATGAATTTGGCAACCTGAACTGAAAACAATTTAATTCAGAATATTGGAACCAAAAAAATAAAAACAACTTTTTTTATTCACCCGGCTTCCGCACAAGACCTTGTAGGTTGTTTGGTCATACCACAGACAAACAATGGGCTTGGCTTAGGTATCAAAGGAAGGAGGTATGGTACTGAATTTTATCATTTTTTTATTTGAAATATAATTTTTTGGGAGTCAAATTATAAAGAAAAAAATTAGGATCAATCATAATATCTTAGGATTGATCCTAAAAAATACCAACTCTTGGGGCCAAGTTACAAAGTTTTGGGGGAGTTTAGGATCAAACCTAAAATAATGGGAGCGATCTCAAATACCCCAAAAAATTATAACTTGACCACCAAAAAAAAATATTTTCATCCACAAACTATACACATATAACGAATTATCATCCAGTTCATCTAAGAGCATGGTAAATTGTGGGGAGCAATAAATCAAGAAGGAAGTGTGAGAAATTTACCTTGTAAGTTTTTATCCTGCTCAAGAAGTTGCTGGATACCATAAAGAATGAAAAAAATATGAAGATTGCAAAAATTCAGTAGCTGGTGTCCCATTCCTCCTCCCTTCAGATGCATTTCAGTCATTGGATATCAAGGACTATATAGGCCAATAGTCCAAATATGAGGGATGTGAGCTATCTTTGACCAGTCCTCGCCTTTCTCTTTCTCGCATCGCCTCTCCAAATGTCGACATTCTTCAATTTGCAGTGTTTGAGTGTACGGAGATACTGCAACCCATCTGGCAAAGAGATCAAGCTGGGGCAATTCCAAATTTCCAACCACGACAGCAACATGAGGCTTCCTAGCCAATTCAGTAGAGAAACTAACCTATCAAAATAATATAAGCGCAGTTTTCGAATAGCATTTAAATGTTGGATGTAGGCAAAGACTGTTGACCCAATGCTTGATTAAGCTTGATTTGGATGATGATAAACATCCAAGCATAATCTAATATGTTGATTAGTTGTATGGATGATGACTTGTATCAGGAAGAAGAGGATTACAATTTGCCTAAGGAAACTGTGATCTGGCATACAAGATAGGTGAACCAATATACCGGATGGAGGAATCGGTATACTGGATGTTGAACCAACAAAGCAGAAAAGCTCTCAGTATCTGAAAGCTTACAATATCTTTGTTTCTGAAGAAGTTCTTGACAAGCCAACAAAGTACTCTGACGAACCGGTATACCAGTTTAGGAACCGGCAAAGGTCGAAAGCTCTTAGTATCTTTTAGTTGGAGAAGGCTCTAACAAGTTGGTATACCGGATGGCTGAACTGGTATACCGGATGAGGCTCCGGCATAATGGTTTAAAATACTATTTTTTAGCATTTTTAAAGCCACTTGATCCCCACTATAACGGTCTTCAAGACCATTTTGTAACTTCTTGGATACATGAACTTATGAACTAAGAGCCAAAAAGAGTTGAGCATTCATTGTAAAGCGATTTGATTGTGTGTAAACTTTATAGTCCACTCTTGTATTATTCTTGAGATTGAGAGAATATTCTTGTAAAACAAGAGAGAGTGTGATAGTTTATTCTTCTTGATATTTGATAAAAGTAAACCTGGTGGTTGAGTTGTGATACATATCTATGTCCATTCATTGAACTTCAGTTCAAGGAGTTCAATACCAGGCATGGTGGCTCTTATAAAGGATGTGATAAATTTTTCGTTTTTCTTTTGGCTGAGGTGTATTTATTATAATGAAAATTTACAACAAAATAATTTTTGTGAGTATAAATTTCCCTCTAGTGAATTCGCACATAGAAAAGAGAAAATCAGTTATTGAAGAAGGCAAACTCAATGTTATCATGGAACTATTAATGTCCCAAAAGACTTCAAACCCATGAAATGCAGACTCGAGTAGTTTTATTCAGCTGCTAAACAAACCTTTGTAGTTAAAGAAAAGATAATTTTATTCAGTCAAACTCATTTAAGTTTCAGAATACAACAATGTAGCTGTACCCTTGTAATCACAATAACAAAGCCAATAATAACACGTCCGACCATGAGGAGAAAATCCTCCTTACTGCAATATTCGATTTGCTAAAGTCACCATGATCACACAAATGCAAATGAAATCTGGTATGAAATAACATTTCCATGCTCTGATTCGGCAGGAAAGTCACGAAGGACTAGTCTGTACAGTGCAATTTACTCCAAGCACAGATTCAAGTTGACAAGTCATATATGCAACTTCTAATACGCATTTTCTATTTGTATTTTTTTTAAGAGAGAGAGATCCATATGCTTATGGCTGGTGATTTATTATATAGGCCCTCAGTAATTCAAGTTATCTTACATGTAATATCATAATATAAATATAAAAAAAAAAAAATTGGAATCCCTACCTTTAAGGTGCACTGGAAGGTTATTAAGAACTCTGTATCATGCATTGCACCGAGCAATGACATAGGACTAGGTACCATGCAACCGTTAGCGCAAAGAACTTGAACCTTCTTTTGTTCAGCCTCCAAAAGTCTTGAGAGCATGCTGCAGTTACAATTTTCACCCACCAATCTAACTGCTAACAAAATAAATACACTGTTTACACGTGCCATAGAAAAAGCAAAAACAGTATATAATGAACATTTTCAAGCACACGAAGTAGATCAATATGAATATCTAATATGAATTTCCATCGTGACAAAATCAGCTTAAGCTTGCACCCAGTAGATGGAGTCAGTTGATACTGTACATCAACTAGGTCCAGTATCATGAATTGTAATCCTCTAATGCCAAAGTAGAACTGGAGTTATGAACGCGCATCTACATGCTAGCAATAACCATGACACTGGCTTAATAAATTTTAACTGACCACCTTGACAAACAGGAAACATTTAACGAACTCAAACAACAAGGGTTAACAGACCATGAATAGCCGTGCTGCAGCTTACCTAAGTTTTTGTGCTGTAACCTCCCACTTTCTGCACCAGCATATGGATTGATTGTAACGTATACGACAGCACGTGCAGAAAAGATTCAAAAAGTGCAGATTTATGTTCAACAGGTGTCCCAACAAGATAACCTCTTCCCCCAAAAGCTTCAATTACAAGATGATATCCTGCACCAGGAACAAAAGATGTTGGCACTGGATCATCTTTGTAAGGTCCTGTAACTTTTTCAGGGCACCTCCGATCAACTACCATATACACCACTGTTGCTAAAGACTATAACTACCACAGGCAACTCATATTGTACCAATGTCTACAGAGTTCAAAGAAACACTCCATTTAAAACCAAACAAACAGAGATAAAGGTGGCCAAAGGACATAATAAAAGCCTTAACTAGTTTAATAGAAAGAGTCTCTGTTGGTGCAGCAGTCAAGGTAAACGAATCATCAAGAATACAGGCAACATGGTAAGCATTTGGCAAGAGAGATTTAATTTTGTGAAGAAGAGAAGCAAAAGAAAAACTTACCACCGCCTAGCAATCACACACTTTCAGGGTGAAATTGGCTTCAAAAACACCACCTAAAAGATACTTAGATGAAATACTAAAGAAAGAAAGACAGTAGCACACACACTCAGACACATACAAAAAACATTTTACTGATTAAGCTAATCTGTCAACATGTCCAATCCAAGCTTTTCAATTCTGGAACACTAATCATCCTAAGCCAACTTCAAAGCATGTGTTGATATTCCTTTTCTAAGACTAAAAATTAATCTCTAGAATTTCCATCTAATAACAAGATCACAGCAACTATCAAATCCATGAAGAAGTGGGGTAAGAATCAACAACTTGATTTTATTGTAAGTTATAAACTATTCCAACCTTCAAAACTTTAAGAAGTTGCCTTGGATTACATACATAATATTTTTTGGAGGAAAAATAATGGCAATCCCATGGATATTAGCACCATACAGGTTACTAATTCACAGCACCTCATGGTCAGACATCTTTCACTTGCCAATATTGAAACTTCGCCCAAAGTTGATGTCAAGGTGCATAATTTGCTCAAAAAACTAGGAAGCATGGATGCGGATACAGGATATGAAATGGATGCTATTGGATACAAACATAGTGATACAATGAAACTTTAAAATAGGACACAGATATTGTCAAGATACGTCCACATACAAAATTCATATTTTTCTATTATCTCACGATGTGATGATTATAATTTTCAATAAAATCTTTAATAATAAATAATTTTTACTTTGAAAGAAGCATATATTGTCTCATTATTGAATACCCACAAAATGATCATGGCTAATTAAAGAATCCAAAATCAACATTTAACGAATTTGTTTAAGTTTAGAAGTACTTATTTTCAAGAGATAGGGTGTGATTAACTCTTATTATGCCCTTTTGACATGTGTTGGTGGATGATATTAAAAAACCACGAACGTGTTTGCAAAGTCATATGAATTTTTATTTTTGTATATTATTGCACTTGAATCATATAGGTAAAAATTGAAATTAGAAATTAATGTAAACAAAGCATACTCATATTTGATACAAATATCACTGATGTTTTCAAGAATAAAAAATATTTTATCAATTTTTGGATACGCATAGTGCGTATTTGATACATATACTCATGTATCCAATGAGTATTATATTTGATACGAATGTTTTGATCAGAAAAAGGAGTATTTGTGCTTCATAGTCAAAAAATAAATCATATTTACAGAAACAAGGCAGCGAGGGCACCGAAGACAAGGAGTAGATGATCCCAATATCAAAGGAAATTGATACAAATGTGTCACACTCATGGCACGGTATGGGCCAATACGCATAAAATGTTAGACAAAAGGCCCAAAAAATTCTTAAAAAATTATGAAAAATATTACCAATAACATCCGTGCATTTTATTTTCGGAATGCATAACCTACTAAATTAAAAATAGTAAAATTTAATTATTCAGGCACTACTACCTTCTGCACGAAGAAGAAGAAAAGGGATCAAGTTTGCCTTACAATTCTTTGAATACTTCTTCTGTTTTGCCATGGGGTGAATCTAACTATGATTTTTACAATCTAGGGTTTGATACGTTGCAAATTTTCACGCTATTTATTTTATTTCTTTTCGAAATCTGAAGAAGTGCTCATAGAACTCCTATGGCTCAATCAATTATTTCTTTGAAATGCTAAGAAGAGAAGTGGGGGAGAAGAAGACTTATTGAGGAGTTCGATTGAGAGCTATGGTGTGTCCACTGGCCACTATTCATTCGTATGGATAGAGAATCGCCAGAGAACACAGAGACGAAGAGGTCTCGTCTGATTCATAGGAAAAAATTGTCCCAAAAAGTAATTACTATAATTTTTTATTGTATTAAGTTTTGAACCAGCCAGTTTTAGAAAACCATCCAGTTCACCGGTTTTCACCAAAACCGGCTAGTTTAAAGATTCTCCAATGGTTCAGTTACACCAGCAATCTAGACCGGCCAGTTCGATCCAGTTGTGATAACTCTGGATAGAGGGCCACCAAGTCAAATACGACTCGGCCGAGTCGTATCGAACTCAACCGATACTTTGAACCATGAATGGGGTACTAAGACAAACAAAATCACAGGTATTGCTTAGCAACCCAATAGAATTTGAAAAACAAGGAACATAGCAAGTTGGTAGAAGGCACAAATGAAATTATCATGCAATACATTCCCCAGGTACAACTAATTCAGATTCCATGATGGGCCAAAAGCAAGAAAAACCCAATAAATGCATCCTCAAAGAGATATAATTTAGTTTAAATTGTTGTTTCCGAAAGTGAACAAATTCTACAAAAATAGAAGAGCTGAAACAGTTACAATTGCAATGTCTCACATGTCCGCAGAATTTACTTTCTGGGAGAACACATGGACAGAGCAACAACTCTAAGGTATAGAAGAGTGTGATCAAAAGATAAACAACCTGGTACAAAAAGTAATTCCACAGTACTAGGTTCCTGTAAGAAATTTTGTATTTTTTAAGGGAGCAGGAATAAAATATATACTGGTTAAGAATTGAGTAAATAACAAATCAAATAGCAGCCATGATTAAGGAAACTGAACTTAGTGCATGCACAGAGCAAGAGACATTCCATACTATTAAACTCAAAAGACTATTAGAATCAATTGATGTTGAACAAAATGAAACGGTAGACCTATAACACGTCTGCATCCATGGATGCCCATACCAGGCTGTCTAGTTTGTTGCAGAAAATTCTTGGATGAAAACAGCAAGTTCCAAGGGGTAAACTGGTAATGCAAGGTTTGATTCCCCATTGGTACAGGACTCCATGCAAAGATCAAAAAGTACTTCCCCACTATCGCATCACAAGCATTTGAAGAAAACAGTGATCATTGATTATGTCTGGCAGTCAAACCGTGTCTGTTGCCACTTAGTTTGGATAGCAACGTGCCATGACCAGTGACCAGACATACCACCAACAAGATTTTGAAAAAGGTGACTAAATATCTATTCCTTAAATAAATAGGCACCAATCAATAGGATATTATAAAACAAAGGAGAGTGTTGCACAAGCAACATATTCTGATTATAAGATCTGTAAGTCGTGACAACTAAATATGCACTCCACCCTCAGAACCTATTGTTAATAAAACATATAAATTTAAATTTACAAGCAACTTAAATCCTGAACAATAAAATGTGCATTATCTGTTTTCAATGCAGCAGCCAATCACAACTTGCTTTTGCGAGAGCAATAAAATATAAAAAGGTCATGCGTACAAGGTTCCTGCCTCTAGCAAAGTCCGAGAACGGTAAGTTTCTGGCAACTAGAATATCATTTGCTATCCCTTAGAGGAAAGATGGTTAGATTCTGCATAATGTTTCTTCTTAACTACAGCCTTTGAAAATAATTGTGATTCCCCAAAATAGCTAGAAGATGCAAATACAAAATCCCAACTAGTTGAAAGGAAAAAAAACAGTAAACTTAAAAAAAAACGTACTTCTTCATTCATCTAAATACACAACATTCCAGCTAAATCCATATGAAATCATCGAGAAGATAAAATTTCAACTGTAGGATCAGCATTATGTTCATTCATAATTGAATGAAATAAGGCATAGTGTCTGAGTTTTCGGCTGTCAAGTAGCACTAAGTGAACAATAATATTCGGTAAGGGAACAAACCTCAACTTCCATGGCACTGAACCAAATCCAGAGTCCCCTTCAACAGCAACCACAAGCCGAGGTGAAGCCACTGCCGCAGCAATGCAATATCCCAGACCAACCCCCATGTTCCAGCAATCCAACCTGCTGCTCGGCTCTATAACACAGCCCGACCAACATCCAATGTGTTTGCCCCTTCAGTCACCAATATGGGAGCAGGACTACTCAATTCCAAAATCACATCCCTAATTATCTTCATTGGTGTCGTCCACTGTGCCTCCATTCTTGACACATTTTGCTTAGCCTTCTTTGCTATAGCCTCAACCCAAGGATGATTCTTCCCCAAACAAAAAGGTCACATTAATCTCCTTATTAATCATTTCCAGAACCCTTTTCACATCCTCAACCAATCTCACTTCCGCTTCATCAAGTCAATCTCTTCCTTACATACATCAATTAACACAAAATTCACATCCTTAGCCCACTTTGGAGGTTCCCCAAAATGCAACAACCAATTAAGCCTTGCACCAACCACTAATGCAACATTACATTTCCCAATTGCCAGTTGATCCCGCCGCCATTGCATCTAGCTCATGTGTATCGGGCAACAAGCCTTTTCCAATTGGCGTTGGTAAAAAAGGAATTCCAGTACTTTGGACTAACTTTTTTTAGCTTATTATCGGCTCTAGCAATGGCAGTGCCCTTACCAAAAACAATCAACGGCCTCTCTGCCAATCTCAACATCAAAACTGTCTTTTCAATCTTCGAATGTTTGACATATCCCATCACTTCTTCCTCTTCATTTCTACAATTTGGCGCATCAGTAATCAATTTCTTGGCCTCCGATTAAGTAACAGTTTGGTGAAGCACATCGGAGGGCAAGTCCAAATAACACCCACCGGGTCGGCCCAATTTGGCCCAGTGAATAACATCGAAAACACAATTAGGAATAAGTTTAATATCAATGGTTTTTGTGGGAAATTCCCGAGAGGGTTTGTGATCGAGCTCTTGAAAGTTGCCGCGGCCAAGTCTTTTTGTCGCAGGAGCGTTGGAGAGACTCGCAAGGCCGTATACGGTGAAGACGATTTACGGCAAGCCGGTGAGATATCAGTAGGCCGAGGTGGCGTAACTGGCGGCTGGATCATTGTAGAAGGCGATGAATCGAATTCTGAGGGCAACAAAGCAGTTGGTGAGGGAGGTGACCAATATTCCAACAACACCAAACATACGGTCCACGCTGACACGTGCCAGGGACATTGCAATCAAGGAATTATCGTCGATTAGGGTTTTGTGATCGAAGTCGTTGTCTGCCATAGGAGCAAGCGAAGCCAAAAAAGCAGTCCTCTTGGGCGGGTGGGTTGAGAGGCCAACCCAAGCCCAAGTTGCAAAACTCTTATCTCCAGTTCAACCCAAACCCGATTTCACCCCTGCATCCCAACTCGAGTACTGATCGTCGGATTGAACTCGGGTTGAGCCCAAATTATTAAATCGGATTCGATTTTCAAGTGAAATTTGGGCTTAGAAATGTTAACGCTTTTAACTCTTTTATTAAACTCACATAGGCCCAATGAAACCAAACACAGGTTATGTGGAGTTCGCCTTCTTTATATACAAAAGAGGGAGAGACCTTTTTTTTTTGTATGCATAACCGATCTGGAATTTTAACTTTTTTCACTCTTCATTCAACATCCCACGTCAATTCAACAAGAAAACTTATAATCCCTCTGATGCTATAAAAGTTTCTTGATGAGTGTGAATAACACATAATATTTTATTGTGTGACCCTTTATATATATATTCACTTTTTGATGTAGAACAAGAAGGACTAGTAATTAGATAGTAGAAAGAGAAGAAAAAAGAAGAGGAGTGAAAGTGATTTACCTTATCCTAACAAGAAATCGGTTAAGAAATACACACAATTCTCTACAAATAAACAATTTTTATTATATCACACTCTCTAATAAAAATAGTTGGGATTACACCATTATTTATAGGCCGAGTTTCCTACCAAAATAAAAATTATTCTCCTACTAAAATTCTGAAATAGTTTCATAATCAAACTCTTAAATTCCTATCTTACTAAAACTTTATAATAACTTCCTAGTTAAACTTTAATTAATACTCATAGTCAAACAAATATTTCTTAACTAATTCAATAATAATAAAACAAATAATAAAATTCAATTATTAAATTTAAGTTCATCCAATCCCTTTTCGATCTCTATCAATTCTCCCTGGCTAAAAAAAACTCTTCTCCGAAAAGTTGTAGCAAAAATACTCCAAGAGAATTGACATCAAACAGTAAAACACATCTTCAAAGCTAATAGAATAAAAGTAAGATCTCCCTTCAATGACATAATATATGATATCACAATGGGAGGAATCTATATCTCGAATCTTTATAACCTTCACACTTTGTTCCAAATAAAATGATGGTGATGATGTTGACGAAAAAGTAGCAACCTCATATAAAAAAATCACGCTTGAAACTTGTTTAACTTCATCTGTAGGAACACCCTTTGCAATCGGCTTATCAAAAGCAATTATTGCAGGATGAGTAGAAGTAAAATTTTTCAGCTCAGTAACATTGAATAACTTCGGTTTATTGTCATTCAATCGAGTTGAAACTAGTAGTGGTGGAACTTGTAGTATAACTGGAGAGTTGTATTCAACCACTTTTTTGATTGACAGTTGAAGAGACAAAGTTAAAATCTTTATTTGTTTTGATTTCACAAACTGTAGTGAGCACAAATTCTCTTAGTGAATCGATGGATGTTTGAATTGTATTGAGTTTAGCATTTATAACCTTTTGTGAATTATCATGTGCTTGGGATAAAACCTCCACTTTAGCATTTAATTCGGCGTTAGAGACCATATTGATGGAAAAGAGCTTCGATGAATTTTTGAAAATTTTGGGGTCAATCTGTATTTTTAGAAACTTCTGGGATAAGGCTAGAATTTTAGAAACTTTAGGGCCAAAGTTTAAACTTTGTGGGGGTGAAAGTGTAATTTAAAAACTGTTGTGGTCAACTATATAATTTTTAAAAGGCTTGAGGGACTAGGATTTTAAGGAAATTGGGTCAAAATATTTTGAATAATAGGTCAAGGTAATATGATTGAAACCCTATTCTATGTAATATAAGAACAATAGCCTCATGTAAATCAGCTATAAAGGAGAAAACAACAACAACTTATCTTTATGATGCTTTGGTGAACAATGATTGCATTGATAAATCTGGCCAGTGATGTGGATGAGGATAGAGAAAGGAACTTGATAAAATTTCAAGTTTTTTTTTGGACAGCAAAGAGAAGAAATTGATGGACAGCGATAATGGCTCAAGGTTGAGCTCTGATACCAAACTGATATAGGACGAAAAGACTAGCAATTAGATAGTAGAAATAGAAGAAGAAATAAGAGGGGTGAACAAGATTTACCTCATCCTCGCAAGAAATCAGTTAAGGAACACACACAATTCTCTTCAGAGAAATAATTTTTATTATATCACACTCTAATAAAAATAGTTGGAATTACGCCATTATTTAAAGGCCAAGTTTCCTACCAAAATAAAAATTATTCTCCTACTAAAATTTTAAAAGAGTTTCATAATCAAACTCTTAAATTTCTATCCCACTAAAATTCTACAATAACTTTCTAGTTAAACTCTAATTAATACTCCTACTTCAACAAATATTTCCTAACTAATTCAATAATACTAAAACAAATAATAAAATTCAATTATTAAATTTAAGCTCATCGAATCTCTTTTCGTTCTCTATCACTTTTCTAATGCTTAAAACACACATTATTTTTAATATTTAAATAAAAACTAGGGTTGAACCTGATTTTTAGTAATTCGGTTTGGACTCGCGTTGAACCTATGAACCCGAAGCCTCAACTAGAGCCCAAATGATTTTTTGGCCAAGCCCAACCCAAGTTTTAAAAACTCAACTCAAGTAATGATTTTTTTTGATTGAGTACAAGTTGGGTACGTCAGCCCGTCCAAATTGCACCCTTATCCTCGGGTGTACACTTAAACAAGTCAAGTTTTATTTTCATCTATAAAAGGTAAAAAATCAAACATTTATTTTGACTTAATCAAATTCTAAAATTTATTAAACAAAAAAGACTTAATTATAAATTACCCCCTTCATGTTTGAGTCATGTGCAATGAACTATGTTTGGTTATAATTTTAACAATTTGCCCCCTTAAATTTTTCCCTGAACAAAATGAACAAACTAAGTGGATGAAAAATGTGAATTACTAAACTACCCTTCATAATTGACCAACAACCATTTCCTTCTCTCACTCCATACCTACCTCCCAAGGGTTCAACTCCTCTACTATGAGGAATAAACAAAACATATTGTTGTTAGAAAAACGACGTCATTTTATTTATAACTTTTGCATATTAAATGTTTACTCCCAAGAAACGACATAGTTTGGTATATATTTCTGAAGTTAAATTTTTTTCTCCAAAACAAGTCCAATATGTGTCTCATTTTCACACCACCCTCAAAACCCTATTTTCATCTCATGGATATAGATGGTGGAGGGGATGACTACCCCTAGAAAAATTTTCTAGTTTGATAAAATAATCGGAAAGTAAACTTTACAAGTTTAAGGAGTTCATCCCCTCCAAGACCTTTTTATGTTGTGCACTGTAAAAAAGTTTACCGAGAGAAAAAAAACCTAAAAATCTTTGCATACCAAAATAATACTTCATTTTGTAGTCTCCCCAACTTTTCTCCACCTCTCATGAGCACAACATCTAAATGATTTTCCATGCAGCCACTTCAGCAAGTATTGATGGCTATAGACATCAAGCATGATTAATGTAATGACGTTAATATGAGCAAAGACATGAATTGTGTATGGCCATTCACTTTGGATTGCAATGCCGTCGCAACCTAAACTATGAGGTTGTCTCAAATATCAACAATTTTTTTGTACGAATTGGACGTCATGGAGTACGTCATGAGAGAGAAATCTGTTGTGAGAATCGTTTCTCATACTTTGTTCAAAACTTATAATCCCAACGTTGAATCCATGAGATGCATATAGGGTTTGCTTTAGGGGGAGAGGTTGGTATGCAAATGAGATACATATAGGCTTTGTTTCGTAAACAAATTTTAACTTCAAAAATTTATACCAAATTGTGACGTTTCTTGGGAGCTAACATTTAGTATGCAAACTTATTGAAAACAATGTCATTCTTTCTAACAACATCATGCATTATTTTGTCCTCATAGCAGAGGAGCTGCACCAAACTCCCAAACCACCAATCCATCCACTCTCTATCAATGACAATGGAGGTGTGGAGGGGAAGGGGGTTGCAGGGTCTAGTGTGATGGGGTGCATGTGTGTGTTGGTGTGGTTGCCAGCGCAATGATTTTGCGATGAAAAGGGAATGCTTTTATTGGGGTTGTTCGTGGTGGAGGTGGTTTCCATTGAAAGGAGGAGGGTTTACTGAGGGATTGTGGTTGGGAAAATTGGTTTTTGCCAGAGAAATCAGTCAAGGGTTTATTGTGGAAGGAGGTGGATTTTGCTGGAGGGGAAGGGGAAAGAGTGTCGGAGAGGGATTGGGTGGTGGTGTTGCTGGTCCAAGATGGGGAATGGGGATTGGTTGGTAAGAGTTTTTAGGATGTAAGATGTCATGCCTAACGATAAATGAGAAGAATTCTGACCTAAAAAATTTGAGATAGGAAGAGTAATTTAGCCTTTAAATGAGAGTTTGGAGCACATGAATTTCACTTAGAATAATTTCTGTCAATTCAAAAGGTGAAAAGTTAACGACAAGAGTCAATTAAAACAATTTTCACAGCTTGGGGAACAATTTATTGAATTTAAAACTAGAGGGAGTTGATTGTAATTTGACTAAAACTTAGAGGGGCAATTTATAATTAACCCAACAAAAAAAGGTCCAAGCTCCATAATTCATATGCATAGGGTAGCAAATAAAAAATGACAAGAAGATACCATACAACCATATAGAATAAGGTTAATTACGATCATTTATAATTGACCTTGGCAAATTTTTCATACTTCAAAACATAGCACAATAATTTAATAATCATTGCTATCAAAATGCATTTCCCTATATGCATAATCGTTCAATTAGTCAACAACAAGGATCGAAATATCGTTTCGAAGTATCGTTTTAGTCAACTAAAAAACGGAAAAGTTTTGAAAATGTAATGGAAAAATATGGAAATACATGGAAACACAAATACAATCCATTTATTTATAAAAATAAGCTTAATAATTGATTAATTTAACATATTTATTGAGTTAACATCCGTTTATACAAGAATAAATTTTAATTGGATTGAAAAAAAAGGCTTGACAAGAGGTAAAAATTACTTAAATTAGTTTCAAACACTTAATTTTCATCAAGTAAACATATTTTTACATAATGTTAAGATCTCATAATACACATGAAATGCTAATGAGTACATACTTACATGGCTACATCTATCCCCCTATGGAATGTCGAGCAGACTCATATATCAGTGTAGGCTCTAGGTGATTACTTAGAGGAACTCCATATGTGGTATAAATATAATGACAATAGTTACTCCAACTTATATTATTACGATAATATGAATTATACTCTCTCTCAAATCTCTGATAGTCTGCAACACTACATCCAATCTACAGGGAAACGAATGCACTAGTCCCTGGCCAACCTTCATCTTATCTATATGAGGAAGATGTCTGGAAGTCATGACTAGATCCATAACCATATGTTGAGGATCCATATTAGTATCCTTGTGTGTCATACCCCGATGCATAATCATATGAGAGAATGTCATATCTAGAACCAGAACCATATGAAGATGATGAACCATAATTATAGTATTCATTTCCAATTCCACTTATACTCATAGTAGAAAAATCATCATTAATCATATCAACTCCACGCCTAATAGCACTCATACCATGTGGAGTGATCGGATTTTGAGTACGTTCACGTTGATGATCTCGACTTGATTTTGAGCGTCGTTCATATTGAAACATTCGTCTAGAGCCGTGATCTTTATCTTGTGTAACATATGTAAATCCTTCCTCTATAGTGAATACAATTTCATGTGAACTTTGGCTCTCCGTACCTCCATCACCACCACCTTTATCGCCACCATGTCCAAGACTGTCACCACCTTCGCTACATCCATCTTCACTATCACCACCACGATTTTCATTATCATCTTCACTACCATCATCATTGCTACCATCACCATTATGATCATCCTTAATACTACTACTGAGAGTGATAGTGATGTAGGACGGGAAGGACTAGCAATTAGATAGTAGAAAGAGAAGAAGAAAGAAGAGGGGTGGAAGGGATTTACCTCATCCTCGCAAGAAATTAGTTAAGAAACATACTCAATTCTCCACAGAGAAACAATTTTTATTATATTACACACTCTAATAAAAATAGTTGGGATTACACCATTATTTATAGGCCAAGTTCCCTATTAAAATAAAAACTATTCTCCTACTAAAATTCTAAAACAGTTTCATAATCAAACTCTTAAATTCCTATCCTACTAAAACTCTATAATAACTTCCTAGTTAAACTCTAATTAATATTGTTGGTCAAACAAATATTTTCTAACTAATTCAATAATACTAAAAAAAAAAATCAATTATTAAATTTAAGCTCATCCAATCTCTTTTCAATCTCTATCAGAAAGGTCACTTACGTTTTTGTGGACCTCTCATCAGTTTGTTAAATTTTTCATCATCCATTGCGTTACTTGATCATTCTCTACTTACTTTGGATCTTAATTTTCATGGTGGCACAACACCTTGACATTGGCCTGCTCCTCCATCATCATCGGAAAAATAATTTGCCCACGTTGCTAGGAAAATGTTTAGTCTTGTTGGTTGCCCATCATCATAAAGTTCATCTAAAAGTGCATCACCAGGATCATCTAACCACTCTTAAATACCTTCATCTTCCTAAAAAACAGTGGTTAAGTCTATAGGTCTAAATTCGTACCATTTTTTGTCCTACATAAGTTGCTTTAACTTCAATCTCATGTTTACTGTGCAAAAACAACTTTTCTAACTTTTGATAATTGAGTTGATTTCGCACTTTAGTATGAATGAGAGTAAACGTGCTCCAGTTTCTCTCACAACTACTAGATGAGACAGTTTGTGACAATATTCTCATAGCAATCTTTCTCAAATTTGAAGCATCAGTGTCATACATAAACTACCATTCAGTTGCATAATAATAAGAAACATGTTAAAACCTTAAAGCAAAATATAAACAGAAAACCATGAGAACAAAATATTATGTTTAAATAATCTACTTAATTACCTGGATCACTGTTTGTTCTTCTTCTAATTGCAGTTTGGTCAGTAAAATAATACATGGCCTCCCGAAATATTTTTACCTAAATATCATAGATATGTTGATGTTATAAACTTATATATAAATTTAGCACATTCGTAAATTGATATTGAAATACTAAAGTATTAACTCTGCAAGTGCTACAACAACCTTGTTTGGATTTGTCTCTAATCTAGACTCAATGATCCTAAGCAAACCCAACAAACTTTCTAACACTAGCATCTTTTTCATAATGGTATGTGGGGTTTAAGTAATAAGCTACAAAATATAAATAATGGTAACACTTATAAATGATAATATCCAAAATGATAACACTTATAAATAATAAAAATATAAATTGTTAAACAATTGAGTTTACCTGGTATACAAATATGTTGAATGATTTGTTTTTCCATCGAACATCAATGATGTCAAGATATTCTTATATGATTTAGGAGCTACGTCTTTGACAACTTGTCTTCCTCGTTTCATTGCTTCATATACATATGACATTGTTGCTTTTTTTTCCTCATTCACCATTCTTAGAACTCTTGTAATAGATGTATGCATATTCAACACATTTTTGGCATTCTCCCAAAATTTAGGATTTAGAATTGTCCCTTGCACTCTTTTGCCAACTGGATCTTTTGTTGTCGTAGTCCTAAACCAATCTTCTGAAGTAAACATCATTTGCAAGTCATTTCTTTGTTCCAAAATACTTTGCAAGGCAAGATAATTAGTGGCAAATCTTGTTTGCCCAGGTCGAATCAATTTCTCCAAACAAAATGTTCTCATTATATCCAAGACTCTATTATGATTATAGACAAAATTGGTCACTCTTTGAGCTTACTCCAGCACATTTTGAACTGTTTCAATCTTGAAAAAATCATGCATAATCAAATCCTGAGAGTGGTCAGCACAAGGAGTCTAATATAAGTGTGGTTTTGTTTTCATCAACATTTGACCAGTTTTTTTTACAAACTACCATTGTCTATAATAATCTGAACCACATATTTCTCTCCAATCACATCAACAACAACATCCATCAACCCCAAAAATATAGTTAGCATCCTTATCATGGCTAGAACTATCAATTGACTTGTGGAAGGCAACTTTTTCATCACAATATATCAAGAAGTTAATGATAGATAATCTTGTGGATGTCGATCCATCACATATGATTGTCACTCTGTAAATCTCCCACTTATTTTTAAACTGGTCAATGTATTCTTAAGCTTATCTATCTCATTATCTAATAATGGCCCGCCAATCTTATATGGAGTTAGCCCTTACACACCCACTCCAGCTAAACCAATTTCATCAATCATAAGTTGGTAAAAATGACCTTGAGTTTTGCTTGGTGGAATATTCTCAAAAATTAAATACTTTGCAATAGCATGTTTTGTCGACTTTGCCCACTTATTGGGATTCCACATATGAGTTAGCTTGACTTGCTTCACTTCTCTATTTTGATACATTGAAGAATTCATCTCTTCTATCGTGATATCTTTTTTTTTGCCCATCAATTTTTGTGATTTTCTTGAGAATTTATCCGATGGTCTAAATAGACTTATCCAACGGCCACCAACATCCCTCTCAAGAATATAGGTTTACGTTGCACCGTACCTTCAGACACGGGTTACTCCTAGTTATAAAACATAGGGGAATGTTGTGCAACCAACATATTCTGATTATAAGCGATGACAACTAAATATGCTCTTTACCCTCAGAACCTATTGTTAATAAAATAATACAAGCAACTTAAACCTTGAACAATAAAATATGCATTCTTTATTTTCAAAGTTGTGGCCCATCACAACATGCTTTTGTGTGAGCAATAAGAATTAAAAGGTCTTGTGTACACGGCTCCCGCCTTTAGCAAAGTCGGGGACATGTGAGTTTTAGGCAGCTAGAATATCATTTGCTATCCCTTAGAGGAAAGATGATTAGATTCTGCATATTGTTTCTTCTTCACTGAAGCCTTTGGAAATAATTGTGATTCCCCAAACTAGCTAGAAGGTGCCTATTCAAAATCAAAACCAACTGAAACAATAAACAAAAAGTATACTTAAAAAATACACACTTCTCCGTTCATCTAAATACACAATAATCCAGTTAAATCCATATGAAATCATCTAGAAGATAAACTTTTCAACTTCAGCGTCAGCATTATGTTCATTCATAATTGAACGGATGAGGCAAAGTCCATGAGTGTTTAGTTATCAATTAGCACTAAATAAACAATAATGTTTGGCAAGGGAACAAACCTCAACTTCCAAGGCACTAAACCTAAATCCAGAGTCCCCTTCAACAGAAACCACAAACCGACCAGGTGAAGCCACTGCCACAACAATGCAATATCCCAGACCATCCCCATTGTCCCCCAAGTCTCAGCATCCAACCTACTCCTCGGCTTCGTCTGAATCAACACAGCCCGACCAAAATTGATTGTGTTTGCCCCCTCAGACATCAAAATCACATCCCTAATTATCCTCATTGGTGTCATAAAATTGAAGGTCAAACATCCTTAGCCAATTGTGCCTCCATTCTTGACACATTTTCCTTTGCCTCTTCACTATCGCCTCAACCCAAGGATAATTCTTCCCCAAACAAAAAGGGTCATTATTAATCTCCTTATGAATCATTCCAAAACCCTTTTCGCATCCCCAACAAAATCCCACATTCGACTTCCTTAAGTCAATCTCTTCCTCACATATATCAACTAATAAAAAATTCACATCCTTGGACAACTTTGGAGGTTCCCCTAAATGCAACAACCAATTCAGCCTTGCACCAAGCACCAATGCAACATCACATTTCCCAATCGCCAGTGACCTCGCACCCGTTGCAGCTAGCTCATGTGTATCAGGCAACAAACCCTTTCCCATTAGAGTTGGCAGAAATAGAATTTCAATGCTTTCGACTAACTCCTAAAGCTCATTCTCTGTACTAGCAATGGTAGAGCCCTCACCAAATACAATCAACGACCTCTCTGTTTGTCTTGCCTCAACATCGAAATTGCCTTTTCAATCTCTGAATCTTCTAACATTTTCCGTCACTTCTTCCTCTTTCTTTCAACATTTCTGAGCATTAGTTATCAATTTATTGGCCTCCAATTTAGTTTTGGTGAAACACATTAGAGGGTAAGTCCAAGTAACACCCACCAAGTCGGCCCATTTGACCCAGTGAATAACTTCGAAAATACAATTGGGGATAAGTTTGATATCATGGCTTTTGTGGCAAATCTCAAGAAGGGTTTAACCGATGTGATTTGTGTTACGAGGAGATAATTTAGGAATATGATTTGGATGATTTCTGTTATTATTTGAATTTGATTTAATTATAGATAGCACATAATTAGATTGTACATAATAATAGGGATACTTACATGTATAGAAGATAACAATGGGGACCTAAAGGAAGAAATCTATATGTCTCCACCTCCCGGCATGTTTGACACCTTCCTCAGAGGTTTGTCAGCTACGCTGATCCTTGTACGGATTGAAAAAGGCTCCGTGCGCATGGTTTGATAAATTTTGCTCTACCTTACTTGCCTTTCAATTTGCTCAGAGTCAGTTTGATTCCTCTCTTTCTTCGCAAGACTTCTGCAGGAATTGTGTTACTCCTGGTATATGTTAATGACATTATTATTATTGGCTCTGATACTGGATTAATTCAGCAGTTACAACAACATCTCAAGGCCGCTTATGGCATGAAAGATCTTGGTCCTTTGCAATACTTTCTTGGCCTTGAGGTCCAGATTACTTCGTCTGGTACAGTGTTACATTAGCACAAATACACACAGGAAGTGATTTCATTGGCTGGTCTCCAATCAGGTAACTTTGTTCTTACTCCGTTGGAAGTTGTTAAGTTGAGGTAATTAACATAACACAATATTAGAGAGAAAGAGAGAGGTTAAAAACTTAACCTAGCTCTCATACATCACTTGTATTTATAGTTAACCTACAATAATAAGAATTATACATACACCCTCTTACTATTAATAATTTATACATACTACCCTACTATTCTTAACACTCCCCCTCAAGCTGGACTATATATATCATATAATACAAGCTTGGAACAAATAGTTGTTAGACGTGTACGGCTCAATATTTTGATAAACATATCTGCAAGCTGATCTTCAAATTTCACAAATGGAGTTATAATCTCTCCAGCTATTATCTTGTCTCGAATAAAGTGACAATCAACCTCAATATGCTTGGTTCTCTCGTGAAACACAGGATTGACAGCGATATAGATAGCTGTCTGGTTGTCACAGAACAAATGTAAAGGAAATTGAACTGGAAACCCAATTTCCTGGAGGAAGTGTAATAGTCAAGTCAACTCACTCCTCGTATGCGTCATTGCCTATACTCAGTCTCAGCACTGGATCTTGCTACCACGGGTTGCTTCTTACTTTTCTAAGAGACAACATTACCTCCTAAGAAAGTACAACAACCAGTGGTTGATCTTCAATCAAAAGGAGAGTCAGCCCAATCAGCATTTGAAAAATCTTCCACTCTAAGATGTCGATTAGCTCGATATAACAGTCCAAGTCTAGGAGCTCGTTTGAGATATCGTAGAATACGAGTAACTGCCTCCCAATGTGGTACTCTAGGACATCCCATGAACTGACTTACTATACTAACTGCATAGGAAATATTCGATCGAATAATAGTAAGATAATTAAGTTTTTCAACCAATCTACGATATCGACCTGGATTCTCAAACAATGCACCATCATCCATCAATAATTTCTGATTCGGATCCATAGGAACATCAATCGATCTACCACCCAGCAAACTTACTTCCTCAAGCATGTCAAGTATATATTTTCTCTGGGATAAACAAATACCCTGTTTAGATCGAGTCACCTCAATACCCAAGAAATACCTGAGTTTTTTCAAATTCTTAGTATAAATTGATCCTGTAAGAATATTTTTAACTTGACAATCCTCTCAGAATCATTTCTAGTAATCACAATATCATTTACATAGATCACCAATAGAACATATCCAGCATCTGTCTGTCTATGAAACACAGAATGATCTATCTAACATCGAAGAAGGCCAAACTCTAAAACTATATCTGAAAAATTTACCAAACCATGCCCTCGATGACTACTTCAAACCATACAAATATTTCTTTAATCGACATACACTCTTACCATACTCCCCCTGAGTAGTAAATCTAAGTGGCTGCTCCATATATACCTCTTCAACCAAATCACCATGTACGAAGGCGTTTTTGACGTCTAACTGAAACAAGAGCCAATCAAGATTAGCAGCCAAAGAAATTAAGATATGACCAGAGGAAATTTTGGCAACAGAAGAAAAAGTCTCCTCATAATCAACACCATAAGTCTGAGTAAAGCCCTTTAAAACAAGCCAAGCTTTGAGACGCTCCACAAAATCATCTAGATAAAATTTAACAGTAGCTAACAGTTCATTTACGAGGGGATAAAGGAACGAGATCCCAAGTCCCATTATGATGTAAATCATTCATCTTCTCCTTCATAGCTTTCCTCCAACCTGGATCAGATAATGCATCCTGTAAATGCTTAGGAATAGATATAGCTGATAATTGAGAAGTAAAACAAGAGAAGACAGGAGACAAGGCATTATATGAAACAAAATGAGAAATGGGATGATTATTAGCACACGAACGAGTACCTTTGCGAAGAGTAATAGGTAAAGAGTCTAAATTACCTGATATACCAGGATCAAAAGGCAGCAAGGAAGACGGTACGGGTACCTCAGTCGATGGGCGAGGACGGCAAGAGTAGACACGGAGAGGTAAAGTAGATGGTAACACAGTGGATAGTGGAATATTTGAAGATGAGAAAAGAGATGGTAGTACAGGAAATGATCCAAAGTCTAGATCCAAAGGCTGAGAAGGTGCTGAAAGTATGGAACAGATTCTTCAAACGTGACATCGGCACTAGTAAAGTATCAGTGCAGAGAAGGACTATAACAACGATACCCCTTCTGTGTGTGGCAGCAACCAAGAAATACACATTTGGTAGCTCGAGGGTCAAGTTTGTCGAACCCAGGACTCAAATTGTAAACATAACAGACACATCCAAAAACCTTAGAAGTTAGGAAAAATAAGGGTTTACCAGGAAAAAGGACAGAATATGGACTTTGCCCATTTAACGCAGAGGATGTCATACGATTAATAAGATGACAAGTAGTAAGAACAACATCACCCTAAAAATATCAGAGAATATTCATTTGGAATAACAAGGCATGAATGACTTCCAACAAATGACGGTTCTTGCGTTTAATAACACCATTTTGTAGAGAGGTGTAAGCACAAGAAGTCTAATGAATAATGTTAGTTTTACTAAGATAAGTTGAAAAAGGATCAGATTCATATTCCTAAGCATTATCAGAACGTAAAGTACGTATACGACAACCAAACTGAGTTTTTATTTCCTTACGAAAAGTCTCAAATGTAGAGAATAATTCAGACCGAGATTTCATCAAAAACAACCAAGTCACACGAGAATAGTCATCCATAAATATCACAAAATAAAGATATTTATTAGATGAAATATTTTTTATTGGACCCCATACATCATAATGTACTAATTCAAATGGACTAGACACATGATTATTGACTCTAGACTAAAATGATACACGGTGATGCTTACTAAGTTGACAAGCTTCACAGGACAAAGATGACGCATAACTAAGACTGGGAACTTGGCGCTTCAAATTCTGAAGAGAGGGATGTCCAAGAAGATAATGTCATTGAAAAAAAAGATAACGAGGTCTATAGAGCCCGGGTAGGTGAATCAAAGTCTAGGTAATATAGGCCACCAACTTCATGTCCTGTACTAATCTTCCTCCTCGTCTTGAGATCCTAAAAGACACAATAAGAGGTATAAAATGTTATTGAACAATTGAGAGAACGGGTAATCTTGCTACTGAAAAGTAAACTAAAAGGAAACTGAGGAAAAAATAACACAGAAGATAGAGAAATATCAGGACTCAAGTTAGTAGTCCCAAAACCTGAAACTTTAGAACAAAAATCATTAGCAAGAGTAACACTACATGTGGAAATAGTAGACTGATAAGTAGAAAAGACATCAGACGCACCAATCATGTGGTCAGAAGCACTAGAGTCTATGATCCAAGGACTACGAGTGGAGGACAACAAACATGTGGAAGCAGTACCTGGCTGGGCAAAAGTAGCAGTGGAGGGTGATGGAATAGCCTGTTGCTAGGACAGGAACTAAGCATACTCCTCTCATGTAATAGTAACCGATCCAGTGTCTGGTGGAGCTGACCGAGGTATGGAAGCAACAACAGAGGTATCATCCTGATAGGAAGCCTGATTCGCAGCACCAAGAGGTTTTTCATGTAAATCTCAACAGAAATCAATAGTATGCCCTCTACGACCACAATGAGTACAGGAACGTGGTCCACTACGGCCCCCATGACCACCTGTACGACCTCCCCGACCACCTCGAGGACCATCACTATGACTACTAAGTATCACAAGAGCTGAGTGATCAGTGAAAACACCATGATTGATACCTGAAGTAGACAAAGTAGCACGTTGTATACAAGAGAAAACCTCAAGCAGTGAGGGAAGAGTAAGACCACCCAAAATTTGAGAACGAATACCCTCATATTTAGGTTTCAAACCAACCAAAAACCTAACAACATTCATGTCCTCATGTTGCTTCTGCCAAACTGCTGCATCAGTAGTAAACAGATGATAGGTCTTCATCTCCTCATAGACTCCCCGAACGTGAGAGTAATAATCCTCAATGCTCAGATTATTCTGTTCCAGTCAGAAATACTCCTTGCACACCTCATAAGCTCGGGTAAAATTACCCATACCAGAATACATTGTCGCCAGGTGATCCCATATCTCTTTGGCAGTGTCAAGGTAGAACAAAGTAGAACTAATACTAGGCTCAATTCTATTCAATAATAAAGAAATAATTTGAGCATCCTCTTGTTCACACTGATCATACCCAGAAGTGTCTTCCTTAGGTTTAGGATTCACCAAATATTTCTTAAATCCTTTGCCTCGAAGAAAGACTTGAACAGATCGAGACCATAAAGTGTAATTAGTCTCATTAAGTTTTATAGAGGTCATGAGACCATTAATAAGAGTTAGAGAAGATAAAGATGAAGTAAGGGACCTGGTATCTTGCTTGAGGTCCATAATAGTGTAGCAAATAGCAAATAATAGAAGGAAAGGAAGTAGCTAGACTATTGAACTAGGCTGGAAATAAGGGTTGGATCACTGAACCGGGCTAGTTGAGCTTGCTAGAGGGTTGAACCAGGCTAAGAATAGGGGCTAGACCACTGAACCAGGTTGGAAATAGGGGCTGGACCACTGAACCGGGCTAGTTGAGCCCTTTGGACTGCTGAACCTGACCGAATTTACCTGCTGGATCATAGAACCAGGCCGGTTTAACTTCTTGAACTGGTGAACCGGGCCGATTTAACTTCTTGAACTGCTGAATCGGGTTAGTTGGACCCTCTAAACCTCTGAATCGGACCGAACCGGTCTTAAGTTGGACTGAGTCTGGGTTAGACCGTGGGTTAAACTTAGACTTTAAATAATTTAAGTCGATGGGCTTGACCCGATCCAACCCAACCCGTTGGACCTCTTCTCCTTCGTTGAGGTTAGGGTTCCCAGAGAACCTTCTGGTCTTCGACAGCGCCACACACCACGACGAGGACTGCGGCACAACACCACAGTCACACCTCTACCACGAACGCCACTACTCAACGATCAACAGGGACCACACCATTATCATGAACGATCAACCAACAACACCAACAGTCGACGATTCAGTGATCGCACCACCACCACAAGCGATTAGGCCACCACACCAAAAATTGACGATGAACAAGAACCACCAAAATAACATAGACACACGCCACCACAATAACACAGTCACACCACCACAACAATGGTAATATATTTAAGATCGTAAGTGCTCTGATACCATGTTAAGTTGAGGTAATAAACTTAACACAATATTAGAGAGAAAAAGAGAGGTTAAAAACTTAACCTAGCTCTCATACATCACTTGTATTTATAGTTAACCTACAATAATAAGAATTACACATACACTCTCTTACTATTAATAATTTACACATATTACCGTACTATTCTTAACATAAGTAAATATCAAGCTTTGTCGGAAGGAAGGTGAGTTTCTTTCAGATCCATCATTGTATCGGCAGTTTGTTGGGAGTTTGAACTACTTGACGATTACTCGTCCTGACATTTATTTTGTTGTGCAGGAAGTCAATCAATTTATGCAGGCCCCTCAACATCTTCATCTAGCTGCTATTCGCAGTATTATCTGATATCTGAAGGGCACCTCTTCACATGGGTTGTTCTTTCCTAAGGAATCTTCCTTACAGTTGGTGGGACATAGTGATGCTGATTGGGCTGGATGTGCAGATACTCGTCATTCTGTTATTGGATGGCATATGTTCTTAGGCAATGCACTCATTTCTTGGAAGATTAAGAAGTAAGATAGAGTTTCCAAGTCCTCTACTGAGTCTGAGTATCGTGTTATGTCTTCCGCTTGCTCTGAGATCACGTGACTTCATGGGTTATTAGGAGAACTTGGCTTCCCTCAGCTTCATTCCACTCCTCTTCATGCTGATAATACCAGTGCTATTCAGATCGCTGCTAACCCTGTTTTCCAACATGTGATTATTCTTCCTCACATTTCCACCGAGCATCAAACTGTAGACATATTCACCAAAGCTCTTTCTCGACATCAACATCAGTTCTTAATCGACAAATTGATGTTTTTTGATCTCCCATCATCAATTTGAGGGGGAATGTTACAAGGAGATAATTTAGGAATATCATTTGGATGATTTCTGTTATTATTTGAATTTGATTTTATTATAGATAGCACATAATTAGATTGTACATAATAATAGGGATACTTACTTATATAGAAGATAACGCTCGATTTTCGGCATGAATGTAAACTCTTCTCTGTATAATGAAAGCAAAACCCTATTGAAAGGGTATTTAGACCAATTTGACAATTTGATGGAGCTCTTGAAAATTGCCGGGGCCAGAGTCTTTTTGATTACAGGAATCAAAGACGATGACCATGGGCCAAGAGTTAACGGTGGCGTTGGAAATACCCACGAGGCAATGGACATAGCAGTGCCGAAGACATTGAGGAGGATTCCTTGCCGATCGGTGAGATACCCGTATGTCGGGGCGGCGTACCCATATGTCGGGGTAGCATACCCGTATGATTGATTGCTCGTTGTGTAGGGTCATGAATTGGATTCGAAGGGGGACGAAGCGGTTGGTGAGGGAGATGACAGGTATTCCAATGACGCCAAACATGTGATCCATGCCGGCACCTGCCAAAGAAATGGCCACTTAGGAATTGCCATTGATTCATGTTTTGTGATTGGAGTCGGTGACTGCCATCGGAGAGAGAAGGGTATCGTTTCGAGGTGAACTGACGTATTTAGTTCTGTATCCAAATTTCAGATACCAAATTTCACTCGATGGTGAGTCAATTTACTCAAATTTGAATAAAAGTTTTGAATTGGTATAAATTAGTTCAATAAACTCACATCTCTCTTCAGTCAATCCACAATCGGTGCCCTTGACCCCAAATCTCTCATCCCAAGTCTCAACTCAGTCTGTGCCTAATTTTTTGTTAGCTTTGCATAAAAAAATAAAATAAAATCCTATGAATTTGTTGTCAACAATGATGGAAAAATCGGGACGAGCTTAAAATATAGAAAATTAGGTGAATATGAAGAAAATACAAGATTAAAAAGGAAGGAGATTACATGAAAATCTTTGAAGTTGTGGGTGCTTTTGCCCGGGGCATTGAAGGGAAGTGTTCTACACAAAAGAATAAACGTCTAGGACTGGGGGAGTTATAGTTGAAAATTTGATAGAGGGTCCCTTCAAAAATGTGTATGTGTGAATATATATCTATGTAATATTACAACTAGGTATATTCGAGAAGGTGTGTGGGTTAGATATATTCAGTATGTGAAATTTTACTAATTAACCTATGTACATAAGATATCTCTGTACTATAAAGAGATGTATCTACATTTCCTCACAGGCCTCTATTCCACAAATTCTAATTTCAGATATTTTGAGTTTTTATTTTTAATAATACTAATTGATGCATACGTGCGTTATACATAAATTATTTTGAATATCAAATATTTAAAGAAAGCTCACCAAAATGTTCTTCAATCACTCACATAATGAAAAACCAGGATAAAAAAAACTTTGAACCATGAAAATAATTATTTCAATGGAATTGTTTCTATGCTATTTATTCTCCGATCCAAGTAACGTTTAATAAGACTTTTACGCCTGCAAAAAAAAAAAAATTATAATCCTTACTTTACCATCCTCTTGCACCATCTCTGATTTTTTAGAATTTGATTGGTAGTAAGAAACTTCCACCAAACCTTAAATGCATCCTTGTCACTCCAGTTCCACACCATACATTTGCTCAAATTGGTTCCATGGTTGCTAACGAGAGCTAATATTCCATCGAGTCATGGGGTTGTTGGCGATAATGACTATATTTATACATTCAACATTTTGTATTTCCTATAAGTTTCGATTTTACTCCTTTTTTTAATTTCAGAAGTAAGGAACATTTGGTGTTTCTATTCATTATTGTCACGTGATAGTTATACTTCTGGGAGAGCTAATAATAGTGTGAAAAGGTATTTTGAGAATGAACAATTTTTCTCAACTAACATATTTTATCTCAATTGACAAAGAGTCGAAATGACTTGTTGCTAACTAAAAAGAAAAAAAATCCAATTCCTTTATCCAAAAAACCAAATAACATAATGTACATAACTTCAAAATTTCAATACTTTTTATATCCTTAAACTTTCTCAATAACCAAATAGAATCTCAAACTATCACACACAAACACAAATACAAAAATATGGTCATGAATTTTATAAAGTGTAAGACGAATTAAAAAATTATTTGTATAAGCCTCGATCATTTTGATGTGTGATATTAAAATGATTAATCTCCTCAAAACATCAAGATCCAACATTATTTATTTTCTTCAAATCCCAAGACTGGATAATGATGTGAAAGAATGAAAAAAATAAACCAATAGGACTTGCATTGGTAGCTGAAGCCCCCCAAGAGGAGACTGACATCCCATAACCAAATCAAACATTTATTAGTTATTAACATGCCAATTTCCTAAGTATAAAATGAAGCAATTCAATGTTGATCTTAAGCTTAATCCAACACCAAAAATCCTATCGCTCTTGTACTATGATAGCTCCTCATCAGCTAGTGGCACCATCTTATGCCGCACCTAAAAATACACATGGTTCGTTTATGTTTACGTTTTATCCAACAATGGCTTCAATATTTGTTGAACCAAAGATCATTATTAGATAAAATAGGCATTAGAGCGTGCCCAAAATGTTATGTAATATTGCTAGAGAACTCCTCAAGCATGCTCAATAGCAATGTAGCTTCCATTATTCTCACACATTGCATTTGAAGCCCCATACATAAGTGCTTCACAAAAATAACTAAAGTTGCAATCAAGATCTAGTTGGATTCAAAAAGAAAAAACACTAAAACACCTCATACATATAATGAGTGAAGGAGCAAAGTATAGAATTCACCTCATGGACATTTAAATGTAAAATTCAGAGCTTGAGTTAAAAATCAAAGAGAAGCCAGGAGTAGAGTGCGAGTCGCGGTGGGAGTAGAATGGGTTTGACCTTAGTATCCTAGGAAAGAGGAGTGATTAAATTACCAATTGACATCATAATCATACCATAATTTTCTATGACCCATTTAGAACATAGCCATAGGTCAAAGGGCATACCTATACAACTATCCATCTACACATGCATCTTTTCCACTTCATCCAAAAGTCCAACTTTTTCATCTTTGTCCTTTTCAGATTTCAAATAATCTTAAAATTATGTTTAAAATGGTATGAGTACGTAACTAAAAAGAATTATCCAATTATTGTATATCTTTCAACTTATTATAAGTGTTCATAGAAAGGTTAGCAGACATTACTTTCAGAGCCCACTCCAATCAAAGGGAAAGGTGTCTTACCCACATTACCGCCCACGAGAGGGGGAAAATGGAAAGTTGGAGTCACAAATAGAGATGTATAAGGACTGTCATGAATTTTGAGAAGGGACTTGGTGACATTTTCTTTGGAATGGAAAGACCACCTAAACCTCTCCTACTAGAAAGGGTCACTAATTTCTGTAATAGCAAATCCCTTGGTAGCATTATCAATCTAATGAACACTGTTTACACTTGTCATTATGTTAAAAGGCCAAGTCTCAATTACCCTGTGGTAGCTTAATTTCAAGAGTTCATTGGCCTATATCCTACACATAAGTGAGAAAAAATTACGATAGGAACGTTCGAAGTTGTACCAAACAAACAAAAACCAGATGGCAACCGAATGTCCAACATCTCTTTATCTGGTGGAGATCTTGTTACTAAGGAGCAACAGTTTTCAAGCGGGACAATTCCAACCAAGCTAAGAAGCCAAAAAAAACTAAAGGATAAGAAATACTCATGGCCTACTTTTTTAGTTTCAGCTTCCACTAGGATGGTTGGAGTAAGATAGAATTTCTACTAGATTTGCTTCCACTCCACAACAGGTGTTGAGTACTAATGTAACAAGTGATAGATACATCAACACAATATATACATATATATCTATATATATAAGTACACATGCATACATTTGTGTAATTGTGTGTCTGAAAATATTCTTTGTTGGAATTCCAACATAATTAACACAAGAAGTTGCCTGAAGCTACAATTTGACAAACAGAAAGCCATAATGTAACCAATTTTTCCTTACTCACATGATCTACATACCAAATTACCAGAGGTAAGACTGCTTTTGGCCCTAAAACACATAGGGAAGGAAAAAAGGCTAGTTTGAAAGGTGATAGGAGAGAGAACTCATGATTGATCATAAAAAGAACACAGTAATGAATACTATTTTCCTGAATTCAACTCATGATTGATCAGAAAAAACTTGATTCCTCAATGGTTCATAGCTTGGATGAAGAATATAGCATAGTACTAATGCATAAAGGATAATTCTTGATAAAGGATTATGCTACGAGCAACTTGACATTAAGACACCATTCAATTAGCACAATGTAAATATATATGTCTCATGTTTTTGAAACAAAAACAGCATTTGAGAGCAAATATAATACTTCTAGCCTGCCAAACAATCACAGAAAAGAGAAAAAGAATGCACAATCTCAAAAAGGGGGAAAAACTTCAAGAAGAACAATGCAAATAAAACAAAGTAATTTAGCCCCCCCCCCAAAAAAAAAACATTTATATCCATGAAAATAATAGATGCTACAGTTATGAAACCTTTCATTCTTTTCTTGGCAGTTTATTCACAATAAAATTTTGATTTTCTCTCATAAAATCTCAAAACTTAGAAGTCTATGAATCCCCATCCCCCCAGGATGTTAATTCGTAGCTCTAAGGAGCATGGTATACACCCATTTTAAAGAGCCATTTGTACTCGAAACATCTGATCTGCAACCTTTTTTTTTCAATGTTGCATTTACATTGGCTTATCCTTGAGCACAACCCTTGCTTCTGCAATTAGTGGACATAAAAATGTTGCTCCATTGCTAGAGGACCAAGTTCATCTCACTTATTCTAGATACCCAAAAACTTGGAAAACATATTTTTCTTTCTGTTTTAGATCACTGGTTTAGAATTTTGGTCATCTTTATGTGTGTGAGAATGAGCACAAGAAATATATAGGCTTTTAGGTGTTCCTAAATATTCCTACCTTCATTGGGATGGAATCCTCTGAAATTTTTTTCTTATGTCAGTACAAAAAACTAAAACATAATTATAATAACTGCTACATTCTCCGTATTGATGTCAGAATCCTAGATGGCTTTATATTTATACAACAAATAGTCACAAAAGCAAATATTTGATCCAGCATATCGACACATACAAAATTTATCAGACATATCAAATGAACAACAGACTGAACTGAATCAAAGGTAGCGTGTTCAGCCATATGATATAAAAAGCTTAGAATCAAAACCCTAAATAAATTAAAATTAGAGATTAAAGAGTGAGAAATTCCAATAAAATATTTCAATATATGGAACAATATAAATAAAATCACACACATGAGTAGGTCATCATTTTTACCAAAATAGATAGCGACGAAATCGAACGTATCCAAATGTTGAAAGCAAAATTGGGCAATGGCTGGTGATGATTTGAAAATAAAACACACACGAATGGAATGGAACACACCTCCACATGGTCAATTGTCCTCTGATCAACACTATCCTACTCCAATGGTGTCACATTGAGTTTTAGAATTTGTGGGGCCTAATCGATTTTGTGTCAGAAACGAATTCAATTAGATAATTAATAATGAAAATGTTGTTTAAGTACAAATTAACGATAAATTTGGAAATCAAAATGTTTGGAGATATCTGTAGCAGAATAAATATGGATAGATTAGATGTAATGGTAATGAACAAATTTAAAACGTCAATTAATTTTTTTTTTAAAATGTGTATATTTAGAAGTAGTATAAATATAGATATAGATATAGATAGATAGATTTTGTGGTATTAGCTTATTGGTTCTTTTTTAACATTTACAAAATAACTGTATTTATTTAAGAGTAATGTTATTTGGACTTGAAAATCTAACATAATTTATTGACTTAATGATGTGGCTTCATTGGAACCATTGGATTAACATCAAGTTCTAATATTTGATGGAGCCCACAAACAATCCAAAAGTCATAGTGAATTACATTAGTAAATTAGATCCCGATAGAATTACTCTTTGTTTAATTGGACAAGTCATTGTAAGCAAATGTCCCACTCACGTCTATGCCATAACCTCATCCACGATTAATTACCAGTGTAAGTCTTATCATGATAACTAACTTTCTCCCTCTATCTTCTGTGGCAACTTATCCTGCCACTAAATTGATAATGTGTAATGTGGTTACATTAAGCTTGAGCAATTAATGTTTCTTGTACGCTTTCTAGACATGCCTCATGGTGCTCATGGTTCATTGTTTCATCGTTTTCATGAACAAAGATCCCAAAAAGAGCAATACCCTAGGTTTCTCCCCTTATTTTCTATTACTATTATAATCTCATGTGTTTTTTATCATGGTTTTCTTGAATTTCCTTAGGTTTTGTGACGCTTATGCACAACCAATTTATTCGTTTTCATGCTAATGGGTATGGTTCTAATCTTTGTCTTGTACGTGGATGTTATTGAATCTTAACTATATGTGGTGTTAGGATCCATCTCTCCTCTTTCTATATATCTCCCGATCTTTATTTTTTGATGGTTTCAATTATGTTTTTGGTAATGGCTTCGATCAAGAACCAGATTTGCAGTATTATGTGTTGGGGATGCAGGTGGCTGTGAATGGAACCGTGGAGGCTGAGGAGGTGCAAAAGCAAGGGAATGAGACTATCATTGTCTTATTTTTTTGGGAAAGTTTTGTCTTATGTCATTGTTGTTATATGAGTTTGTGCTTTTCATGACAATCGTTATACTTGATAATTATACCTTTCTCAAATTCAGTGGAGAGCAAAGGAGGGTAGCTGACAACATTGAAGCTCTCCAAGCCTCTTTTTTTTTTTTTTGGAGAAAGAGAAAATTTATTGATATAAACCAGAAATTACAAGAATCAAAAGCACCAAGGCTTGCAAAAAACAAAACATATCAAAATTAACAAAAAGCATTCAAACTATCTATCTCCCTTCTTGAGCACCAACACCTTCTTCTTCCTCAGAGTAGGCAGAGAGTTTTGATCTTGGTTCAAAATCAACAACCCAGTCACAAGCAGCCCAATAACAGTGAAGTCAACATAGCCTCCTATACGAACAGCATGAGATGCCAGAAAATCAGCAAGGGGCATTAGCTTCCCTATATACATGTCGAATACTTACATTAAGCTTCCTAAACAAATCCCAAATCTAATCTAAAACAGTTTTACATTTCCAAGGAACAGCTACCTTCCCCAACACCATCTGTACAAGCACATGAGAATTAGATTCAATATAAATTTGATAATCCCCAAAACTGTACTGTAATGCTAATCGAATACCATCCAACAAAGCATTGCATTTCGCTTGCATATTCCTCTGTTATAAAATGCAACAGCAGTTGCCAACACATGGCCCTCTGAATTTCTAATGACCATACCCCCTCCTGACAGGCCAGTTGAACCTTTGGCAGCCCTACGAAGCTCTCCAAGCCTCATCAACTTTCCTCTTTTCTATTCTCGCGAGGCTCAACTGCTCGGACTTAAGGTAAGATTATATAAAAAACTCTTTTTTTCTACCTCTACAAATAGTTTAATCTAATAAATGTTAGTTTTAGTTAATTCCAATATGCTTTTGTTTGGAATTTTTGCAATTGTTGTCTTGTTTAATTTCTTCAATGGCCTTGTTGTTTGTTGTTCCATGGCCCCCTAGCATCGGTAAGGTAAACAATTCACACATGCACACAAACACACCAAACACCAATGTGTTAAGATATCGTTACTATATGTGATACCTATAGTCATTAGATTCCTTACTATTCTATTTTTAAATGTCTTTTAATTATTTTTTTGGCTAATTTCTATTTAGTGAGATTAGTTTACTTGATCTCATGTATTGGTTATTAGTCACAAATCCGTATGATGCATAGGATAGTTAGTGGAGGGACAGTTACATATCAAACTTGGTAAAATATGATATGATGAAATGTTACATTTGAATTAGATAAATCAAAATTTCAAAAAAATTAAATAAATCACAAATTTACAAATTAAGAAAATTGAGAAGAAAGACTATCTAAGTCTTCGCTTCCAAAAACATGGATATTATATATAGATAGGAGATGACTTATTTTACTTCTACTGTGGATTGATATCATACTTGCTCATGCATTGCATGGGGTTCTATTAGTTTTAATTATAAGTTATTGTTTTCTAAATGATTCTACTCTGTTATGAATTTTTTATACATGTATAGAAAATTGAGATCATTATTAATACCACATGTTTTACTTCTAAAGTTATGCTTTTCTTATATTTCTAAACCTTGTTTAGGCTTGGAAACTATTGAGCTAGTTGTGTTCACACCTAGAATTAACATTTTTCAAATTTGGATGTTGAGATTGATACCATCATATAGGACTGATAATTGAGCTGAGCTATTCGGGCTTGGCTCAAATAAGAATCGACTCGAGCTAGACTCGTGTTCTAAACAAGCCGAGCTTGAACAATTTTTAAAAGGTTCGGCTTGAACTTCCAAAGTTCTGCTCGTTTATATGTAAAATAGTCGAACTACTCAGGCTTGACTCGTTTTGAGTTCGGCTTGGGCTCAACTCATTTTCTAAATGAGCCAAGCTTGAACAATTTTATAGGCTTGTTTAGAAAAACATGTTTAGCTCGAACTCGTAAAGCTCAACTCGATTATTTGTCCTACCAACATAGGTGAGCATGTGGGATAATGCTTATGAATTTTAATGGTTTAGTTTGAGAGGAAACATTTATTTGTGTATGAATTTTTTTGATGTAAACGTGGGCTATTTATATAATAAAGTAACTAGATTTCTTTGTCTTTATTTTTTCGCGGCTCATATCATTTAACTATTATTGATCCAACGATTCTCATGTAAAATTTGTCTAAAACTTCTATCTCTCATCTAACTGTCTCTCCCTATCTCATACTAACTAATATAAAGACTCCTATCTCGCATCTAATTCTATCTCTTTATCCCATACTATAACTCTCTCTCCCTATCTCAGACTAACTCTATCCTTGCTACTTCACCAGATGCACTCTCCCTGCCTCTCTTTCATTTTTAAAAGCAACTTATCTCTAACTCTCTCCCCTATATCATACTAATTGTTACCTCACCCGACACATTTATCTCTACCTTATCTCTCATCTAACTCTTTCCTTACCTCACCCAGCAACTCTAACTAAGTGGTTGTTTTCATCGTCAATTTGGTGAGGGAACCACTGCCACCAACCACCGTAAGCCACCACCCCACACTCCTTGACAGTGGAACATTACCAAAGTAATTAGTTGATTTTGTCGTCAAATTGGTGGGCCATGAGCAACAGTTGTGCTTGGTTTTCAGTCATCGCAATTATTCTCACATCCAATAAGTGGACTTCAATATTTTAGGTTTGGTTTACATTACATCTAATTGCTTTTATTAGATCCAATTTTCTTATTTTCTTCATTTTCATGGTGAGTATTTAATAATGTTTACCTTATAGAACATTATCTTGTTCATTAGTGGGTGAAAAATATCTTTCCCCTAGCATTTGACATGTACACAATTTATCTTATGGTGTCTCAATTCAGTTGAAGAATTTACTTTTGATATGGACAAATTCTCATCATTCAAAAATAAATGGAGTATCCTCCAATTATTTTAAAATTGCAGGGGAGGCTAACTCGATTTTATGAGTTATGGTTCTCTGATAGGCATGCATGTTAGGACAAGGACAGAGAAACATTAGAAATTTTACATATAACGTTTAAGTTGAAAATAGAGTTCGAAAATAATATTTTGTTGTTATGTATTTCTCAATGAATTTGTACAGTAGAGAAGGGTCAGAGGTATAGATCCTATAATCAAGCTATTGTTCCTACAATCAAGTTACATGTATAATGAATATGTCCACACCTATTGGAAAACTACATTGTCTCTAGAATAGGAAAGAATCCCAAAGGTAATTACAAAGATAGTTGACTATCAATCCAATATTTCAACACTCCCCCTCAAGTTGGTGCATAGATGTCATACATGCCCAACTTACCCAAAAACTTTGAGAATACTCAATTTGAAACTGCTTTGGTGAGGATATCCGCCAGTTGATCCTTAGATCGACTGTGAGGCAACTCCACAATTCACTCATCCAACTTCTCCTTAATAAAAAATCTATCTACTTCAACATGCTTTGTACGATCATGTTGAACCGGATTATGGGCAATATCACGTGCTGCTTTATTGTCACAATATAGTCAAATTGGTTGCCTAGGTGGATAGCCCAAATCCCTTAAGAGAAGCTTTAGCCATAACACTTCACAAATTCCAAATGCCAAACTTCTAAATTCAGCTTCTGCACTTGATCGTGCAACAACATTTTGTTTTTGCTTCTCCATATAACGAGGTTAACCTACAAAGGTGAAATATCCAGAAGTAGATCGTCTGTCATCTACAACTCCAGCCTAGTCAGCATCGGTATATGCTTCCACGCTTTGACAATCTATATTTTTAGTGAACAAAATCCCCTTTCTAGGAGCTAACTTTAGATACCGCAAAATACGCATAACAGCATTCACAAGTTGTTCTCCAGGATTATGCATAAATTGGCTGACAATACTCAATGCATAGGCAAGATCAGGTCTTGTGTAGGCTAAGTACACCAATCTTCCTACAAGTCTCTGGTATCTCCATTTATCAACTGGTACTTGAGTAAACTCAACACATAATTTCAAACCTTCTTTTATTGGTGTATCAGCTAGTTGACATGTTGACATACCAATTTCTTGTAACAAATCCAAGGCATATTTCCTTTGAGAAAGAAAGATCCCTTTATCAGATCGGGACACTTCAATTCCAAGGAAAAAATTTAAGGGACCGAGGTCTTTCATTTCGAATTCTTTTGACAAGTAACCTTGTAGTGTTTTCCTTTCTTCAGGATCATTTCCTGTGACTACCATATCATCTATATATACAATACGTGCAGTGATTTTACCTTCTCGTTTCTTCAAAAATAAAGTGTGGTCTGAATTGCTCTAATGGTAGCCAAAGGTTATCATAGCCTTCATGAATCTTCCAAACCATGCTCTTGGAGATTGTTTCAACCCATACAACGATTTCTTTAACCTACACACCTTCTGGCTATGTATTTCTGGTATCATGCTTCCTAGTGGGAGATCCATGTAGACTTCTTCGAATAACTCGCCATGTAGAAAGGCATTCTTCACATCAAATTGTTGTAATGGCCAATCCAAGTTCGCAGCTAGAGACAACAATACTCGAACTATGTGGATTTTAGCTATAGGTGCAAAAGTATCTGTATAGTCAATCACAGAGGTTTGGGTGTATCCTTTTGCAACCAATCTTGCTTTAAATCGTTCAATTGTACCATTTGCTTTGTACTTCACAGTAAAAATCCACCGGTATCCAACTGGTTTCTTTCCTGGTGGACAATCAACAAGTTCCCAAGTTTTATTCTTTTGCAAGGACTTCATTTCCTCATTCATAGCAGCTTTCCACATTGGGTTAGCTAAGGTTTCCTACACACTGTTAGGAATAGATACAGTAGAAAATTGATTTACAAGTGATTGATTAGATTCTAACAAACAATGGTTAGACACATAATGACTCATAGGATATTTAACTTTACTAGAAGGATCGGGGTCATATGTAGGTTTAGGAATACCTCTGGTCTGATGCTGTGGCAGCTGTTTTCTAACTGGTTCCAAAACATCTTCAACAAACAATTGGTTTGGTGCATCAGTTGCATGTGGTGTGAGGGATTCAAACGAAGGTGGAGTCACAACTTCAGTTTCTGGGTGTATCTCACCACTTTGGTCAAAAGTTATACCACTCAAATCCAATTCACCCACTTCTTGATTGGTCGACCCAAGTTGTGAGTGTTTATCACCACTACCATCCAAATTTATACCACTTGTATCCAAGTTACCCACATCACAATTAATATGTTTAGGGAGTTTTAGAGTCTGAGCTTCCTCAACATCATAGTCTAGAGTCTGAACTTCCTCCTAATACTCCCCTTGAAGTTTAGGCTCAAAGAAAAAGTACATGGAGTCTTCATGAAAAACAACATCACAAGTAATAAACATTCTTTTGAGTTGGAGGATGATAGCATCGGTACCTCTTTTGATGAGTAACATACCCAACAAAGACACATCTCAATGCTCGAGGTGTCAACTTGTTGTGCTGATGCTTATGAAGGTGTACGAATGCTACACAACTAAAGACATGAGGAGGTAAGTTTGGGACATTTGGGGGCAACACTCGCTTTAGAAAGAGCTTGGGATGGTGTTTGGAAATCGATAGTGCTCGAGGGTACTCAATTGATCAAATACATTGCAGCAGAGAGTGTTTCACTGCAATAAGATAATGACATTTGAGCTTCTATCAATAAAGCACGAATAACCTCCAATAAGTGACGATTTTTTGCTCCGCTACCCCATTCTGCTAGGGTGTATAGGAACATGTAG